AGTGGTGGGCGGCGGACTGCTGCGGGACGTGGCCTCGCAGCGCCAGCTCCCAGTGGTGGGCGGCGGACTGCTGCGGGACGTGGCCTTGCAGAGCCAGCTGGAAGTGGTGGGCGGCGGACTGCTGCGAGACATGGCATCGCAACACCAGCTCCAAATGGTGGGCGGCGGACTGCCACAGCTGTCTGCAGCTATTGCCTTAGTCGGGGGTATCAGCCAGCAGCTGCAAGAGCACAAGCTAGAGGCCCTGGTGCAGATCAGTGCAGCCTTCGAGGACCTGGAGCAAGTGCTCCAGCAGCACATGGTGACCTGGAGGCCATTTGTGGGGCCAAGCAGAAGGTGTTGCAGTCCCAGTTAGACACATTGTGCCAGAGTCAGGAGCACATTGGCAGCTGCAGCTTTGTGGAGCAGGCCTTGCACCTGTGCTCAGCCTCGGAAGTGGTGCTTGTGCGCAAGCACGTGGAAGAGCGCCTGCAGGACCTCCCAGAGTGTCCACACGAGAACTTGCAGCTGGAACTGGCCTTTGAGGTCTACGGGCTGCAGCGATCGGCGCTCAGTGTGGGGGCGCTGCTCACCATCAGCCCCACTGCACACGAGACGGTGGCCACAGGCGAGGGCCTGCAGCAGGCGCTAGTTGGCCAGCCTGCCTCGCTCACCGTCACTACCGAAGACAAGGACGCGCGGCTGGTGCGCACTGGCAGGGCAGAGCTGTGCACTGCGATCACGGGAGCCTACGGCTTGTGCCTTCCGGTACCTGTGGTGGACCACAACAGTGGCACATACGAGCTGATGTACGTCTCGCGCACCGAGTGTGAGCTGCTTCTCTCCATGCTGCTCTACCGACAGCCGGTGCATGGCAGCCCCTTCTGCGTGTGTCCCCTGCGTCCTGGGGACCTGTCACCTTCCCTGGACAATGTCAAGCCGGGCATCAAGATTTACTTAAAGGAAATGGCTCATGCAGTTGCCGGGGCTGGCAAGTCCCAAATCCGTAGGGTCAGGCGGCAGGCTGGAAACCTCTGCTGGTTCATGGGATTGCAGGGCTTGCAGTCCAAAATCTGCGGGTCAGGTGACAGACTGGAGACTTCTGCAGGCTTACAACCCAGAAACTAAACTAGAGGTCAGGCAATGAGAAGAGTACAGTATTGAGAGAGCGCGCATCTGTTTATATTCTGGAGGCAGGCCGCACTCCAAGGAAACACTCCTTTCAGCGGATTGGCTGATCACATCAGATTACGTCATGGAATGTAATTACATTATATCACATTACGGAACAGCAACCAGTCCAGTGTCTGTCAGACCACTGAGAATCATAGCCTAGCCAGGTTGACACATAACATTAACTATCACAAAGATGGTTTCTGTATAATGGCAAATGGTTCTTTCACCAACAAATAGAATAGTTTTATGTACCTTAAAAAAAAAAAAAATCCTCCAAATAGTTGAAGCATGAGTTGACGAAACAGCTGTAAGAAATCAACAAGTCTGCTATCAAAATGAAGAGTTGGATAAAATTTTTAGTTATTGGGTGGCTAAAACCAAACCAAACCCATTGCCATGAAGTCAATTGCTACTCACAGCAACCCTGTAGGACAGAGTAGAACTGCCTTGTGGGGTTTCCAAGGAGCGAACTGCCAACCTTTTACTTAGCAGCTAAATGCTTAACCAGTGTGCCACCAGGACCCCGTTGGTGGGTTAAGGAATCAAAAAATTAATAAGCTATGGAAACATTTGATCAGCACAGTAGTAAGTTTGATTTACTGGACATATAGTAGATAGAACCCTGTATCAAATAATTAGAGCCATGTTTCTCAAGCTTTTCTACTTCATGACCCATCTAGATAATGACAATATTTATATAGCACACTGGATTAATTTTGCTAGAGCCCAGGTTTGGTCCAGAACCCTAAGGTCTGAAGTGATTGACATTTCAGCACACCTGTTACCCATTTGTAGCACGCTGGTTGTGAAGTATTGAATTAGAGACTTCTCAAACATACATGGAATATTTATAAAAGTTGACTATGTATTAGAGCAGGGGTTCACAAAATATGATCCATGGGCCAATCCTGCCCACTGCCTGTTTTTATAAAGTTTTCTTGGAACACAGCCATGCCCTTTCATTTGTATGTCATTTATGACTGCTTTTGCAGAGTCGAGCTGAGTAGTTGCCACAGAGAACATATGAACCACAAAGCCTGAAATACTTACTTCTGACCTTTGCAGAAAATTTGCTGATCCCTGTACTAGACTGTAAGCGTGTCTTAGAAAGTTTCAATGGATTGGTATCAAACAGACCACATTATCTGACCAGAATGTGGTTGAGTTAGGAGTAAATAAGAGGATAAATAAAAAGATCCCTGTGCGTTTGGAAATGAAAAATAAGTTATTAATAATTCAACTTTCCAAGAAGAAATCAAAATGAAAATTAAAAAAATTTAAAATTTAGTTATAATTAAAATAATATACATTAAAGTTAGTAAGATATGGCATAAGTGGTGCTTGAGAATTTGGTAGCTTTAGATACTCATTAGAAAAAAAATTTAATGAGCGAAGTATCTTAGTAAAGAGGTTAGAATAGGAGAATAAAAACCTAACCATTATTTTTCTCCCAAACACATTTTTATTTCTGGAATACTGAATATATTTTTATTGCTATTTCAAAGTTATTTATTATGAAGAAAGCAATTGAATTAGGTAATTGAACTGTACTGATTTTCTCAAGGGGTCCTTTTGTTCTCCACCTACTTGAAGAATTCTCATTTGTATCAATGATATTTTCAAATCTACCTGAAGGATTGCTTAGGAATTTAACTTGAAAAAGACTTAAATGAAAGGTTTTTAATCTTTGTGTAATATTTTACAGTTATTCAAATTTAAAGTAATAATTTATTGCATAGGAGATTTGTTTTTTTTTTTGCAATGAACCTCTTCTTCCTCTAAAACCTAACACATAAGCCCAGTTTTTGTATAATAGATTAAGTGGAGCTGTTCTAGCTGTAATCCTGCAGTTCTGCTTGCTCATTCTTTTTCTTCTTTTTCTGCCTACGACCCCAGGCACTTCTACTAAAACTCTTGGATTCTGGGGCTCTAGAATTGAGAACCATCAGCATAACGTATCTATGATGCTGTAGAAGAGTTTATTTTTTGTATTTTAGATGCTTGTTCTTGGAAGTCTTTGTCTTTTATTTGTCGTTTCTGAGGCAGTTGGCAAGTTTGAGATATTTTTTAATTGGCTAATTGTTATGCTAAGTTTTTATTTCTAAAGATGCATGCTTTGGCTAAGCTTTAATAACATTCTCATTTAGCTTGAGTCGTTGCTTTTCCGTTGAAGACTCAGATGATACATCACAGGACTTTGGTCCACAAGCATTCCAGCTGCTATCTGCTGTGGACGCTTTAGGAGAACAGTTTGGAATTGGGGTTCCCATTTTATTTCTCCGAGGATCTGTAAGTATATCTCTGAATCACCAGCATGGTTCTTCTTTTACTCTTATTACAGTTTTCTTCAGAGGTTTGCTGTATTATGATTGTAACTTTGGCTGTAGATGAGTGATTAGAAACCCAGCGAGTCATATTAAGTTTCATTTAAGCACTACATTCATTACTTTTGACAAAACTTGCGTGTATCACCTGTACTGTTTTCACATCCCAAGCTGATGCTCAGCCCTGCACCTCAGTCTGGAAGCACTGTATTAGTTTATTACATTTCAATTGGGTCCCTCCCTAGACTGGTCTTTCTTAGGATAATTAAGTAAAGTTAACTTTCAGTGTGTCAAGGGACAGAAGGAACAAAATTGTGTATTTTGGTGCCCTGGCAGCTATTAAATTCTTTGAGCAAAACTTACGGTGATTATTTTGTAAATGTCTAAGTTCAGTACCACTATTTGGCAATGTATTTTTTCTTTCATTCTGTTCTGTTTCCTACCAGAAGTATTTAAAATTCTAAGGAAGTTGTTTTTTTGCTTTACTGATAAATAATTAATCAATTCAGCTATTTTTTTTTTTAGTTATTAATGTACCAGAATTATGCTAACACCTGCAGGTACAAATAGGAATAAGATGTGATCTTTAACATGAAAGAGCTTTTTCTGTAGTCCTTTTGTTTATCTGATTTTATTCCTGATTTACAAATCTATGAAGCAAAGCTAAGTATTATGTATTGATATGAGTTGAATAAATCAAGAGCAAGAGATACATACTTAAAAGTAGAGATTAAAAATATCATTTTGTATGTACAGCTTTTTCATCATTTAGGTAACTATTTATTTGTTAAATACTCATATGCCTCATATAAATATTTTCTGAGTTTTTATTTTGGAAAGGGACATATTAATCAGTTCTGAAATATTTTTAATGAAGTATATTGAAAAACTTATGTTAACTTGTCAGGCATTGATGATTTTAGATTGTGATTGGAGTCTTAAATTTTGTTTTTCAATCACAAATTTGATTAGAAATTAAACAGTAGAAGTCTTGTCTTAGGAACTTTGTTTTAAATGCTATAAGTGATACTGTATTTTTTATAAAAAGAATTTAAGTTGCAAAGGACTGAGTAAATATAACTGAGACCTATAAAAAATCTCTTCTCTTTCTGTCACCCTCAAAACCTGTATATCCCAGTTGAATGTATAATTTATAAAAATTATCCTTGTTTTAATTTGGAATAACCCAGCCATATCCAATGTCAACAAATAAGTGTAAGTGGGCTCCTCGACAAACTTGAACTGGTCACAAGAGGGATCAGATTTCACCTATTATTTGAAAACCAACTCAGACCGTTTATACAGCAGTCTCTTCTGGGAGTCCTCAAATTAAGAAGTTTATCCTTCGTGAAATTTTATACTACCCTTGCTAGATAAAAGTCTAAAACTTTTTAAAAAGTACCACTTAACTGAAATTTGTAGGTACTAACTGTGATGAAAATGAGGCAAGTTTTCTCCCCTCCATTTCAGTGATCTTGGCATCTACTGGGATATTGTTTAAAAGATTTGAATTCTAATCCCTTTGAGAATTTAGTAACTCATCCACCTTAACTAATTATAGGAATAATTAATGTCTTTGTAGATAATTTTGATCTGTAAGATAAGAAGGGTCTTAAACCAGGAACTATTAAAGTTTATTTAAAGAGATGATATATAAATATATAACAAACAATTTCAGCAGCACTCTTTACACATGAGTATTCTAAATTGTGTAAATGATTATGCATCCTATTCCAGGATCTCAATATTTTGCCCACCATACAGAAATCTGTAAACACCCTTGTGTGAATAAGTGATAGGATATGCAGTGATCTTAATTTTATAGATTGGAAAACAGAAGCACAGTCATTAATTTGTATAACCAGATAAAGTGAAACCTCTTTCCTGATCATATTATGAAAGTGCTAAATATTTTCATGGCTGCAGAATTGGATAACACTTTTGATAGATAATTTGACTGTAGGCAGCCATTGGGACTATTGATAGTTTTAATCCCTCATAATCATCAAACTATCTAGACGGGAGATTGTTGTCCATTTGATTTTCTGGAGAAGCTATTTCATCTGATTGAGATAAATTCCTAGAGATAATCGTAACTTTATTTTTGTTGCTGTGTTTTGTTTTGCTCATAGAATATCAGCTCAAGAAATGACTTTCTCAAACCCTGAAGTGGTAGCTGTGACATTCTTTGGCTTGAAGGAACTGGGAGACATGCAAAAAAAATTAAAATGTTTAACAGAAGCTGTAGACTTGTTTTGTACTTTTAAGAACATAGGGATTTAAAGCTTCTTGAGTTAAATTTTATAACTATTTGCTACACTAATTATTGAACATCTATTTTGTATAAAGTACTATACTATGTTTTTTGAGGGGGGAGCTCAAATTTGAATTAGGTGTAGATTCATTGTCTAGTATGGAAGGTGTTAGTTGGGAAGAAATACATATAACAAAGCATAGAAAGAGATAAAGGACGTATGAATAGGTGTAAAGTATTATTGAAGTTCTGAAAAGAGATTGTTAATAACTGGGGAAATTAGAGAAGTCTTTACAAAGGTATCACTGTAGATGTCTATTTTGTGGAGGGTATCATAGATTTTGGCAAGATTTAGTAGGCTTAGACATTTTGAGATGGAATGAGGGAAAAAGGAAAGGGAATGTGGCATTCCAGGTGGAAAGAATTGCTACCCCCGAAAAAAAAAATTTTTTTTTTTTAAATAAGGTAATTAACAGAAGTGTCAAAAAAAATTTGTTTTTTCTGTCAAGTACTGGTGCAAAGATTTGATTTTATCAGAAACTGATACTTTGGGTCTCATACTCTGGCCAGTAGTTAAATTTTCTGCTCTCTTTATTCTAACACACACCCATCAATTAGTAGGTTTCTGCATTCTATGATACGTCACTTATTTTTGCCCCTTATTTTTCTAACCTAATTTTTAAAGAGAAGGAACAAGATGAAAATTTCCCTTTTTGAAATTGTGTCCCATAGACTCTTGGAGCTAGAACTGGCAAAAAGACCGCTTAATCCTACCACATTATTTTACAGCTGTGACAACTGAGTCCCAGAACCGTAAAGGAGTTGGCTCTAGGATATACTGTTACTTGTGCCAGAATCAGGATGAGAAAACTGTTCTCATGACTACTAGTCTAGTGCGTTTTTGTTTAATATACTGTTCACACAGAGTTTTAAATTTGTATTTATAGATCGAATGATCTAGAGATACTAGAATGAAGATTTCTGGTTGGTAAGGGATGTGTGTGCATGCGTGCATGTGTGAGTGTGTGTCGGTGTGTGTAGAATTTTGCCCTCTTTAAAATCTGTGCTCAAGTCCTTTTATTCCCTATAGCGGCTTTCTCATCCCAGGCAGTTTTACTCCACAAGCAGGTTAATCTGGAAAGTTAACACTTACAATTAATGGAGGAAGGCTTGCTCAGAGTGAGGAGTTGTTAAACATTTGTTATTGAAACTCCTTATTGTATTGTTTTAACTGTCTTTTTTTAAAAAATTTCACTTGGTTAACTTTGAATTTCTAGTTGAAAGGGGAGTGTGTTTCTTTAAGAGAAAGATGTTCATTATCCAAGAGCAGAGAGATTTCATTCTGTGCATGATGCTTGCCGTGGAAACATGACAGTGTAAATTTTCTCACACAGGGCACAATATTCACAGTGATTATTGATCATGAGAGGAAGAGATGATTGCCCCCTACTGATTAGAAAGATTCTCATTGCTTCAGACTAGTAAATGTGCCCGTTCACATCAGGTGCTTTCCGCTTATGAAAGGAGAGAGTAGAGCAATTTCTAGTGCGTGGAGAGCTAGTAAGTGCTGATTAGGAAACTTCATACTACTGATGTTGTTAGTTTGCCAGCGGTAGAGTCTCTTCCTACAAAGGTAAGCCACTAGCAGATGTAGAGAGCCATAAGCAAGTGTTCCAGGGGCAACTGACTAGATATTAAGTCATGGTTTTACTTTCAGGTTAAGACATTCAGGCTGAGTAAAAAGGATCAGCTGTTAACTAATAAAAAGAAAGGTAATATTATTGAGAGAGACTTTCCTCATTACTCATTTAATCTTTACAGCATCTCCAAGAGATAAAGACTATTTATTATAACTGTATAGCAGATAAGTCGGAATTGACTCGATGGCAATGGGTTTGGTTTGGTTTTTTTTATAGCAGAAGAGGAAATACACAGATAAGTAACTTACCCAAAATAAAAAGGCTAGTAAGTACCAGAGCTATGACTTGAACCCAGGTAATCTAGCTCCAGAGTCTACACTCATCACAATCAGTTTAATGTGTATGTATGTATAAGGGTGTGTGTGTGAGTACATTCATGGTATAGTAATAAAAAATTAGAACTAACCGTCAGGAGGCCTTTGTTTTAGTCCCAACTCTAGTACAAATGGAGTCCCTAGGTGGTACAAATAGTTAACATGCTCGGCTGCTAACTGAAAGGTTGGAGGCTCAAGTCCACCCAGAAGCACCTTGAAAGAAAGGCCTGGTCATCTAGTTCTGAAAAATCAACCATCGAAAACCCTATGGAGTACAGTTCTACTCTGTCACACATGAAGTCGTGATGAGTCGGAATCGACTCAGTGACAACCAGTTCTAGTACAAATGCATGGTGGGACTTAACATCTTTGAGCCTATAATTATTTGTTAGCAGTGTGAGTAAAAATGACCATGATAGGTCATAGAGCTCCAATGTTCCTTCCAACTCTGAAATTCTAGGATGTTTTCTTTTAAACATTCTAATCAAATCAACCTGCAGTCATGGTTAGCGTAGGGAGCGATTATTAACAAGGAAAAAGGTACCACACTGTACCTGGGTGTTTATTTGTCCTCGTCTGTCTTAATAACATTTTTGCAAGTATAATCATCAAAATACTAAGATTTATACTTAGCTGCTTTAATAAAAAAACTATTTCTATTTTTATGCTTAAGATTTACTAGAAAGCATTTTACAGACTCTGTTAGCTCGTTACCTTTGTTAACTTCTGATAGGTATATCAGAAGCCTGTGTTTTAAGCCCAGTGTGTAGGCACTGCTGAATCTCTGATGGGAACTTAATCTAATTTCCTTTGTGTGAAAGATCAACTTAATTTAGGCTGTTTTTGCAAATCTATACCTTAGAAGTAGTAGTAAATAACATAAGTATATTAATATATATGATACGATTTTTGTTTTTCATCAAACACTTGGGAAAATCATATATGAAAGCAATATATCTTTGCATAAGTATTCATTCTTGTTCTACCCATTTTAGAACACTTGTCTTATTAACATTTTTAATATTCCAAAAGGACCCTCTAACTCTAACGTTCTTATCAATTGAATAAAACCAACACATTCATAATAGAGAGCCTACAGTACCCGAGTTATGTCTCCTGGAACTAATTCCATGTTCTTTTAGTTTTGGTTCCTGAATTTTTATATGCATTGCTTGGTAAACATTCAGTAGAATCTGGATTAAATGTAGAAATGTTGAATTATAGGCTATGACTGTTTGTAAAATTTTAAATTGTATATTGAAATTTTTAGGGGACAGTAACCTCTTGACATGTCTAAGGGATGTGTTTTTGAAGAATGAATGTGAGCTAAAATAGGTCAGAGTTTATTTAGAAAGCTCATACAATCACTCTAGCTAATTTAAACAGAAAAGTGTTTATTATTACCGAGTATTAAATGGCTTACAGTATTGTTGAAAAGGTCACATTGCAAAATAGTCCACCAGGGGAGTTGCTGCCTCTTCTGTGATCAAGAAGCTGTCTGTCCATTGGGGAAGCTGTCACTGCAGCACCTGAGTAGGAGCTGTAACAAGCAGGGAGGCCCTTCTGCTTGCTCTGGGAATCACCATGCATCTGCTCTAATCCTTATCAACACAATGGATGCCTCTTGATCCTTAAAAAGCTAGAAGTTGTGTGCTGGGTTCTTTGCTAACACTTCCTTGTGAAAAACAAACACCTCTGCAGTCATGCATGTCTGCAAAAATAGCAGAGGGATAGCCTTTGCCTCACTTCCTGTTTGTACGTGTCATGCAAATATGCATCTTATTAGTGGAACTTAAATCATGTCCAGAACCCTAGCTGAAAGGGAGTTTGAGAAAAGGTATTTGTAACCTCCTAGATTCTGCAGTAAAAGTCACAGTGGACCTTTGAATTACAGTCTGCCATATTCACCACAAATGGATTAGAAAGGAGCAATTTTCCCATAAAGTCCTATGTTCCTATACTAATACATTTAAAAGCAGTATTTAAGTGTGTAGGATAAATGAAAGAGGTAGTAAAATGGGGAAAGTAAATGGAAAAGTAGAAAGAGTAAAGTTAGGGAGAATCCTCTCCGTTCGATGACAAGAGAATTGCATATGACAGACTAGCTCCCCAACATTTCTAGATCTTAATGGCTTTCCCGAGCTCCCATAGGAATTCTCTCTTCATTTAGGGGAAAAATCCTCAAAAGCATCAACTATATAGCATGCACCTGCTTTACCTGGTATATCTCAGTGAAGCAGCTGAATCGTAAATGACTAAGTAAACTTGCAGAGCATCATGACCAAAAGCAGCGCAAGAACAGCCTTGCGGTGGGAACCGTGAGTCTCTTCACTGCCACTCACTGCTGACTAGCTCATGGGTCACACTGCCTTTTAACACCCACGAGTCTAGTCTTGAGCTGTAGATTATGATCAGATTTTCAAACAGTATTATGAAGAAGTGAATAAAAAATCTGAATAGCAAAAGTTAAAGCTATTCCAAATACATATCCAAACCTAGATATTGTGAAAGCATCTGAATTATATCTGAAATTTCTTGCCCTTATTTATAACACAAAAGGAACACTATTTTGATTATATATATAATATGTATGTGTGTGTATATGTGAGTTAAGTGTTCAGAGCAAGCAGGATGAATAGAAAATTCTGTATATTTTTAAAACTTCAATTTGGTGTTAAATTCGAAGACTCAATATGTGGTTTTGTGTCTTAACCTGTGTAATTAAATAAGCACTTTTAGATATTTATTTTATTCATAATTTCAGAATTCTCAGCGTCTTCCAAATGAATATCGCAGCCACTGTTTCTTTGGCACTGGCAAGGATCAGACAGAGAGCTGGTGGAAAGCTTTTTCTCGTCACCTCATAATTGAGGGATTCTTGGTGGAAGTTTCTACGCGTAACAAATTTGTAAAGATTTGCACCCTTACAAGAAAGGTAAACATTGTAAAAGTCTACGTGTTTGACTAAATTTTTCTCACTGTACATTAAAAGATTCTTCTTATGTTTGATAGGGTAGAAACTGGCTTGATAAAGCCAATGAAGAGTTTCCTCAGAGACTCATCCTTCAAGCTGACGAAGAATTGTGTCCAAGGAAGTTTCTTCTGCCAAGGTTCATTTTTCAGTTTTTTTTTTTTTTTTAAATTCTAGAGTTTTTGTTTATACAATTTAAACTGTACTACCAGTTTATAGACACCACACAAATAAAATGAATAAAGATATGTTCTTGCATACCTGTTTTAGTTTAGAAATAAGGGTCAGTGAGAGAAAGATAAATGAAGAACACTTTCTTGATTGAGAGGAGGTAGCTGGCCATAGTATTTAAAAAGCTTTTTTTCATTAATTAAAGAAGCAGGATTGAGATCAATATGGAAGAAACCACATGTTTAGTTATGTGAAGAAGGTGCAAAGGGAATATGCTTATTGCCACCTTTTTAGTACCTTTACCCGTTATTGATCACTTATCAGTTTCTTCCTGTTAAACTTCTTAAACCTTGCGGAGCTTTTCTAGAAAAAATCAATTTAAAAATTCTAAGTTTTAAAATGGTAATATAATCTCTGCCTTTCTGAGATTGGGGGTATGAAGAGTCATGAAGTGGATAATTGCATCCTAACATTTGAGGTAATTTAATCTCATTATTTTTCAGTTCTAAAGCTGTAGCTTCAGTCACTGAACCATGTGTCTTTAATCAAGTACCAATTGAATTAACGGCAGAGAAGCAGGTTTGTTTTAAAAAAAAGTGGTTCTTATTTATTTCATTCATTATTGGTGCAGCTCTTGTTTTAAAATTTTATATTTTACTTACCTTCCAATTAAAGAGAAAAGTGGCATACATAACAAAACATAAAATTTGGAAAGAGAAGTGATATGAACAGAATAAAATATGAGGTGTATGATTTCGGGTTAAACGAATAGTACAGAAGTATTTGAGAAAATAACTTATTTTGATTCTTTTGAGCCTGTTTTATGACTTTCTTGGCTTGGAGTTTTTAGATGTTACAATACTTAGAGCTGATAGAAAAAGAAGTCTGATTCCTAAATGTTCTCCTTAAAGCTATGCACACATGCACACATACTTTCTTGCTTTGGTTTTGGATCTTAGGTAACTATACAGATGAAGTACTTACCCACAGGCCTACATAAGATAGTTAGAGCACTCGGGTAATGGACAGATATGCTGAATTCAGTTTTCTGGTGAACATTTTCAGCTGTTTAAATACAGTATGCAGAATATAATTGAATCATTTTTATAACTTTGGCTCTTTCTGTGTCTCAGAGCATTCTTTATAGATTTGAAAGAAATGGACATTGGATCACATTTTAACTACCTTTAAGACCCTAAAAGTGGGTATTTCAAGAGCTTATTTTTCAGATGGTTTATTTGATGACTTGGTTGGTCAGAGGAAAAAAAATGTCATCATCAGCTTTGCATCTTATTTCCTTCATTCTTAAAAGTTCTGAAACTTCTAATATTTTATGTTTTTAATGGAATTTTGTATGTTTAAAAGCAGTGTAATTTGGAGAAGATGTATTCTTACAAGGCACCTGATAAAGTATCTTCTGGGAGTAACGTTCCTAAGAAAAGGTACAGAGTTCACTATTTTTATTTTCAATACTTACTTTAACAGCACTTTTTGTTTTTCTTTTCTAAAGAGAAAGGACTATCAGATGTTGGGCTATTTCTTTGGGACAGTGAGTCCTATGAAACAATAGCATTAATATTAATTTAAGAGCTAACACTTACTGAGTATTATTGTTTGCCAGGCTCTATGCTAAGTATTAGGCATTTTATACATATTATCTCATTAACCTATGGGTTAGCTACTATTATTTATCCCATTTTACAGTTGAGGATAACAAGGGCTAAAAAGTTGGGTAACTTGTTCAAGAGCATACAGCTAATGACAGAGCTAGCTTTCAAATCTAAATTTGTCTGTTTCCAGCACCTAAGCACTATTTTATTTTATTTCCAGCCATTCCTTGGAAACCCTATGGGGCACTTCTACTCTGTCCTATAGGGTCGCTATGAGTCAGAACTGACCTGAGGGCACCTAACAGCAACAACAGCAAACACTATTTAGTTATACTTGTATGAAATATGTATTCCCACACCATTTTCAAAAAAGGTTTTACAGCATCATAAAATGGTATATATATGAGCTGGTAGAGAATAAAGGTGTTGTACTTTTCAGCTTGCTGACTTAGTGAAAGTGTGGAAAATGTACAGAAATTACTGGAGGGCTGAAGATGGAGAATTTGAAGACATCAGTTAGGGCCTATGTAGTGTATACACAGATTAAACGGACTGTGTTTACTTCCATATCAGATCAAAGTAAATTAATGTTGTCTAAACTGTTATGTACTTCCAAATGGTTTGTTCACTGACAGAACATTTACCATGTTACCATTCTCCCACCTAGAACAATTTCTTTTTGTGGGATATGTGGTATGTAATAATTGTTTTAAGTAAACAAAAAGTTTAAGTGGTGTACAAAACAATATATCCATTCAATATGCTGAAGCATTTCTTTATTTAAACATTTGCTGTTTTTACTAGGCACCTTCTTTGTGCCAGATGCCATTCATTCTAGGCATTGGAATTCAGTGGGGGAATAACACAGCCATAGCTACTGGCCCTCCCGGAGTTTATAATCTAGTGGGATATACATGTAAGGGAACCTACAATTACAATTAGGGTTATAAGACTATGGACACGCATAGAGGAGTAAACAAGTCTTCCCAGAAGAAGTGACACTTGAAGTTTAAGTAGAAGTTGGTCAGGTGAAGTGAAGGGAAGTCTTCCAAGCAGAAGAATGCCCCATATACAAACACCTGAAAACAAGGAGCGTGGCATGATTAAGGAACTCAGCAGTATGCTAGAGGTGATCTGGTAGAAGGAAGCAAGGAAATGGTAAAATTTAAGCCGAAGATTAAATAGGAGCCAAAGTAACCAATTCCTTTCAAGCACTGGACTTGATCACGAAGGCAGTTGGAAGCTAAAGAAGGGTTTTAAGTAGAAGAGTGACATGATCAATAGGGGTTGACAAACTTTTTCTATAAAGGGTCAGGGAGTAAATATGTGGAGCCCTGGTGGCGTAGTGGTTAAGAGCTCAGGCTGCTAACCAAAAGGTTGGCAGTTCAAATCCACTAGCCGCCCCTTGGAAACCCTATGAGACAGTTCTACTCTGTCATATAGGGTCGCTATGAGTCAGAATTGACTCAATGGCAACGGGTTTGGTTTTTTGAATTTCTTGGCAAATATTTTAGGCTTTGCAGGCCATACGGTCTCTGTTGCAGCTACTGAACTGTGGTACTGTAGCCTGAAAGCAGCCACAGACAAGATGTAAATGAATAAGCGTGGCTGTGTTCCAATAAAACTTTATTTATTGACACTGAATTTTAATTTCATATAACTTTCACATGACACAGAATGTTCCTTGGATTTTTTTTTTTTTTTTTTTAATTTAACCATTTAGTTTGTAGATAGGCCTGGCCAAAACAGACTCATTGATTTGGCCCACGAATCCTTGTTTGCCGAGCCTTGATTTATCACTCTGGCTGTGGAGGGGACAGATTAAAGGAGAGTGAGAGTGTTATAGAGAAAAAAATGCTTGCAAGAGATGATGGTAGCTTAGATGAGGGAAGTGACATTGGTCATGGAGAGAAATAGATTTGTAAGATATGTAGGAGATAGAATTGTTAGAACTTGATTATTGAAATGATGGGAAGTTAAGGAAAATGGAGGACTTGAAGATGACTCTTACATTTCTGTCTTGATTCCTGGGTGAGAGTATTGTTATTCCCTGTCTTAGTCATCTAGTGCTGCTGTAACAGAAACACCATAAGTGGATGGTTTTAATGAAAAGAAGTTTATTTCCTCACAGTCAAAGTAGGCTAAAAGTCCAAATTCAGGACATCAGCTCCAGGGGAAGGCTTTTTCTCTCTGTCGGCCTTCTCTTTGGTGTTCCCCCGGACTAGGAGCTCCTATGCACAGGGACCCCGGTCCAAAGGACGTGCTCTGCTCCTGGCACTGCTTTCTTGATGGTATGTGGTCCCCCTGTCTCTCTGCTCACTTCTGTATTTTATATTTCAAGAGATTGCCTCAGGACACAGTACAGTCTTGTAGATCAGGTCCTGCCTTACTAACACAACTGCCACCCATCCTCCCTCATTAACATCATAGAGGCAGGGTTACAACATATAGGAAAATCACACAGTACCAGGAATCATGGCCCAGCCAAACTGATATACACATTTTTTGGGGGACATAATTCAAACGATGACATTCCCTTAGCTGGGCAACATAAGAGGAGGAACAGAATTCAGGTGTTAGATGTTTGGGGGATGAGGTTAAAATCAGGAGTTTAGTGATAGACAACATACCTGTCAAGTAGTCAAAAAAATCACCTTTACTATATGGGCTTACTATACAGAAGTGAGCAGGATGCTTATGTATCATTAACTGCATTATCTTAAAATTCTTTGAAATTTTCATTAAAATAATATGTGTACATGGTTTTAAAAAAGGTCTTTGGGTGGTGCAAATGGTTTGCATCCAAAACGGTGGAGGTTTGAACCCACCCAGCAGCACCATGCATGAAAGGCCTGGCAATCTGCTTCTGTAAAGATTACAGTCAAGAAAACCCTATGGAGCTCAGTTCTACTCTGTGACACATGGGGTCACCATGAGTCAGAATCGACTTGACAGCAACAAATTTGTGGGTTTTTTTAATGGATTAAAAGCTGGATAGTACTTGTGGGCTTATAATGAAACACACCAGTCCACATCCTTCCCAAACCCACTTTGTTTTTGTTTTTTTTAATTGTGCTTTAGATGAAGGTTTACAGAACAAACTAGCTTCTCATTAAACAATTAGTACACACATTGTTTTGTGACATTGGTCATCAACCCCCATGACACGTCACCACTCTCCCCCCCTCGACCTTGGGTTTCCCACCACCAGCTTTCCTGTCCCCTCCTGCCTTCTCATCCTTGTTTCTGGGCTTGTGTGCGCATTTAGTCTTGTTTTGTTTTATGGGCCTGTCTAATCTTTGGCTGAAGGGTGAACCTCAGGAGTGACTTCATTACTGAGCTAAAAGGGTGTCTGGGGGCCATACTCTTGGGGTTTTTCCAGCCTCTGTCAGACCAGTAAGTCTGGTCTTCTTTTGTCAGTTAGAATTTTGTTCTACATTTTTCTCCAGCTCTGTCCAGGACCCTTTATTGTGATCTCTGTCAGAGCAGTCAGTGGTGGTAGCTGGGCACCATCTAGTTGTGCTGGACTCAGTCTGGTGGAGGCTGTGGTATTTGTGGTTCATTAGTCATTTGGACTAATCTTTCCTCTGTGTCTTTGGTTTTCTTCATTCTCCCTTGCTCCAGATAGGGTAACAATTGTCCTCAAAATTTCCAGCTGGTTTCTCTGGTACTTACCTCTATATATCTAAACAACATGCTTAGACTACTATTGTTTGACTTACCAATTTTAGAAATTTTCATTTGACTTCCTATTATGGTAGATTAGGGCTTATATTAGAAGTTTTGATTATGTTAATAATTTGTTTCTACATTATTATAATTACACAAATATTACATACTACTAAGCCAATGAGTGTGTTGGTATAGCCACCACTTCTTTATTTTCCTTGGTGTCAATAATTTTCTTTCTTTTTTTTCCCCTTTCCTTGGTTTTTAGTGTGCCTTTTATTAATTTTTATTTTCTCCTATTTGCAGTCTCTTTTTGTCTGTTTACTCTCTTGAAGAGGTCCTTGACTTTATATTCCCTTCTAGCTAATGAAATTTTAATTTTACTTATCAAATTTAAAATTTTTAAGAACTCTTTATTGTTCTCATAATGTTCCCTTAATTATGTATAAGAGTCTTGATTCATGGATGCAGTATCTTCATTTACCTCTCTGATGTTATTCATTATAGTTTTTTTGAACTTTTATTATGTGCACTTATAATAGCTTTCATAGTACGATACTTTTTACTAAACTTTTCCCACATATATTTCTGCTTAAGAGATATGTTACCCAGAATTTTGCTAGTATATATGATTTTAAAATTTCTTTGTGAAATAATTAAAAATACAATTTTTCCAACAGTACTTTAGTAAAAGATTTTTGTAAATACTAAGATAAAGATTAACATAATCGTATAATTTTAAAACAAATTTATAAAACCTGATATTACTAATTCTTTGGACTGGAATTGTCTTTCTTCATGCTCAGATTCATTTTATGGTAGTATCTGATAATTGTGAAAATAAAATCTTACTTTACAATGTAGTTTGTGAATTCTTGCAACAGAGAAATTAATAAACATTTCTTAAATATCAAACACATTCGTTCTCTCTTCACCTCTCCCCAAAAGATAGGAATTTATTTAAATTTGACATCTTTTATGTAGGCCATTCTATGCAATTTTTTTAAAAAATTGTGGTAAATACATATGTAACATGACATTTGCCATTTCAGCATTCTTCATATGTACAATTCAGCAACATTAATTATGTTTATAATATTGTTCAATCATCACCATAACCTGTTTCTATATTTTCCCATCACCCTAAGCAGAAGCTCAGTGTCCTCAAGTAATGAATCCCCCTTTTCTCCTGCTCCCGCCCCATAATACCTCTTGCCATCAAAGTGACTCCGACTCATGGAGACCCCTTGTGTGTCAGAGTAGAACTGCACTCCATAGAGTTTACAATGGTTGATTTTTTTGGAAGTAGATCACCAGGCTTTTCTTCTCAGGTACCTCTGGGTGGACTTGAACCTCCAGCCTTTTGCACCACTTAGGGACTCCCCTAGAAACCACTAGTAAACTTTGGTCTGTATACACTTGCCTATTCTAGGTATTTTCTGCATTCTTTGCAATATGATTTTTATAACTTTTCCTATTTGTAATTAATTTATCAATGAGAAATACCTCTTCTAGAAATTGGCTTTTTATCTAGATTGGTGACTAGCACCTTTCAGAGTATATTGTTTGCAATTTGTGGGGTTTTTTTCTCCCTATTTTTAGGAAACAGATGCAGAATTACTTCTCTTGTCTGATTTTTGTTTGTTTGTTTTAAAAAAAAGTTTTGAATAATTCGATTAATCACATACTAATGTCTCCCAGCAACCAAAAATCATTGATGTCACAGAATGAATCATTATAGATTATATCCCTCTTAGTTAAAAAAATGTTATCTTTCTTCACTATGGATAGAGAGTATTTTTTTTCCCTAAAGCATTTGGTTGAGGAGGAGGATGGAACAAATGTTGTTCTTCAGTTTTGTGATGAACTCAAATTGCAGTTTTAACTTTACCATTATAATGAGTGTGGTTGATCCAAAGTGTTCAAAATCCAGGCCGCCATTTAAGTAACAAATTGCCTTCCTTGTATTGTGAAGAACAGATGTTAGTATTGACTTGGAAATATAGGCTTTATTTGGAGGCAAAATAAAAAGTGAACCCGGAGAAAGAAAATTTTCTTTTATTATTTATTTTCCTTTAAATTTTTTAGTGTCATGGTGTCGTCACCAGGAAAATATCTTCCTGTATCTTACAAGTCCACAGAACCTGTTATTTCAGCCCAAGAACAAGAGACTCAGGTAAGGCTTTTGTAAAAAGGCAACTAGTTTGTGAGAGGATAGTTATGATTTTATGCATGCTTAAAATTCTGGTGTCGGTGTTTTAATAATTGCACTTTTGCTGAGAGTCTGAGATAGAGTTCAGCTTATTTTCACTTAAGGGAAAATGTAATCTGAAAGCTCTAAAGTGAAAGATTGGATTTTTCTATGTATATAAAAAAAAGCGTTGAGTTGTTTCTTTGTTTTTTTGTTCAGACTACATTATATGGCGAATTGGTAGAAGCCAGGCAGAAACATTCCAATAAAATAGATGTTCCTCCAGCTATTCTGGCAACAAATAAGATACTGCTGGATATGGCCAAAATAAGGTAAACAATCAATTTGTATATGTTATGATTTATTTTCTTCTAACGTAATAGATTTGTAAAATGTATCACTATGTGATAATGACCATAACTTTAACTATCACATCTGTGAGATGCTCCCAAATTTCCCATGCCCCTCCCACTGTCTCTTTGCTGAGTTTTTAACCTCACATTTCTACATGAATGAAAACCGACTGTCTTTTCCGTGGCCAGATTCACTATCTATAAACTAACTCATTTTCCACCCACCCTCCATGCATGTGTTTCATGCAAGTACCAAAACTCTCTGAATTCCTTCTTTTCGTTAATCATACTACCATGTCTCTGATCACACATGTTTAAAACCTCTGATATCATTTTCATTCTTCTAACATATATCTCCTTCTTCCACTTACTTACACTGTTTTCAGACGTTCTCATTTAAATGTTCTTGTGTGTCTGTGACTTCCTCCCTCTTCTTAGTGATACCATGTTAGTTTAGACCTTTCACCCTTGAACTGTTGCAAAAGCTGCTTAACTGGGCACTCTTTCTTCAGTCTCTCGTCCTATTTCATCTGATATATGAGTACCAAGGAGTCTCTTGGTGGTACAAATGGTTAAGTGCTCGACTACTAACCAAAAGGTTGGTGGTTCGAATCTACCCAGAGGTGCTATGGAAGAAAGTCTTGGTGATCTACTTCTGAACGAGCACAGCCATTGAAAACCCTGTGGAGCACAATTCTACACTAACACACATAGGATTGCCATGAGTTGGAGTCAACTTGATGGAAACTGGTTTGTTTTTTTTGGTTAACGAGTACCAAATTAATCTTTGTTTATCATGTTGTATTCCTGCTTAAATGATTTTCCCTGTGTTAACTTCCTTAGCCTAGAATTCAAGTCTCTCTATTTATGGACTTAAACTTACTTTTCCATCTAAGTCACAGAATTTTGAAGGGTTTGTCTTAGTCTGATTGTTGTTTAACATTTGTTGATGGCCCCTTTTCAGCTTCCACATATTTATTTACAATGTTGCCTCTGCCTTGCAGTTCCTTTGATTCCCCCCAAATCCTTTTATGAAATCCTTTAAGATCTCGTTTTATTACTACTTCCTTCATAAAATCTTCCATGGTCTTATCAGGAAAGTAATTCCTCTGTCTTGAATTCATAAAGGACTTTTAGATGTATTGCTTCTATAGCACTTATCATACAACGCTTTATTTTTTTGTTGTTAATGGTATACATGTTTTAGTATACCATCTAGATTTTAAACTCTGTGAATAAAGATATATGTTCCTCATATCTTTGTATCTCCCACAGCATGTAGTAAGTACAAGGCCTAATAAACGCCAAGTGGTCAATAGATATTTAAAAGAAATTATTTCCTAAAATAATTGTTTGATAATTGTATTCATCTTGATGCTTCCTTTTAAAAAATTGTTTCTGTCACTAAATTTCATCTGAGAGATATTACTTTAGTGCAGAACTTTCTAATGATATTAATAGTGCTTATATCCTATAATAATTATAGCATTAAAAAATAATTATTATACTTTAATATTCAGGGAAGATATTTAAAGAAAAAAGAGTAATCATCAGATTGGCGAATTTTTAGAATGAAGACATTGTACAGTCTCTTGGATATTAGACACATTTAGAACTATTGAGCTAAAAGCCTTACGTGGTTTCCAGGTTTACTGTAGGGTAAACATTTTGTGGAAGAAAATAATGAATGAGACTTTCTTCTGAGAATTTCTTAGTCTCTTAGTTGTCCTCAGTTACAGCCTAGTAATTTTCATTTCTGTAAAAATGTAATAATAATAAGGTCAGTCATAGAGTACAACATTAGATGTTGGCCTGTTTCTTTATGATCATTGACCTGTTTACCGGCTGGTAGTGTATTTTCTAGTGATGGTCATGGAAGTGTTTTTATTATTAAATTGCTAAAACAGCAAATTTTGAAATGGTGGAAAGTAAAGAAATAAATTATAAAACAGAATTACTTGTATGTCACATTGGTTTTGATTTTTGAAAAAAAAATGAAATTGAATATATAACAATTGTATAAAAATGCACAACATTTATTGAGAATTGGAATGCATCCTGTGTTGCAAGAATGATAATGTTTCAGTGGGTTCTGGACTCTTTTTTTTTTTTTTTTTTTTTTAAACCAAAGACCTACTACAGTTGAAAACATGAAACGGATTGATGGTGTTTCTGAAGGCAAAGCTACTATGTTGACCCCTCTGCTGGAAGTCATCAAACAGTTCTGCCAAAGAAATAGTCTTCAGGTAAATTACTGTGATTTTCAGGAGCTCTTAGAGAATAAATGTTTTTTGACCATTTCAAAAGCACGCCTGAAAAGCAACATCTTCTCCTTTTATTTGCCTTTCCCTACTGAACAGCTAGAAAATGAATTTAGAGTATTTCTACAATAAATCAGTTAGTAAAGACTTGTTCATTAGTTACCTAATTTTTGATACTAAAATTGTTATGTAGGCTGCCCATGTTGAAGGTTTGTCTTTAAACTTCAGTAAGTACGGTACTTCAGGTTGATAAATTCTAGCTTTCACTTTCAAATATGGTAGTTAGAATTTAAAGCTGCAAATTTATACTTAACTATCAGTTGGTGAGGATGTCAGCAGCTCTGTTTTTCTTATTGTTTGGCATATTCCCCAAGCACTCTTCTCTTCCAGTGATGCTGTCTTTTGATATTAAGTACATTTTACATTATTCTCTTCAGCCTTAATAGTGTTTCTACATATCCTTTTATTACTTCTTGCTTATCATAAATGGTCATTTCCACAAGAATTGTTTGTGTTTTTTTCTTTAAACTCCACCTGTGGTCTCTATGCTTTGTACTCCAGCATAGAAGGTGAGACAGGGTGAGATGGTGGAAAGGCTATTGGACTAGGAGTCCGGGAATCAGGGTTTTCATTCTGCCATGGTTTACTAGATGAACCTGAACGTGTTCTTCAATTTCTTACGGTCTCCATTTCCTTACTGCACACAATGGAAGTAATGGTTTCTCAACCCATATCAAGGAAAGCAAGGAAATAAAGGATGAAATTAGAAAGATAAAAGGCATAGGACACTTATTAAAAGTTAGAAGAATTAAAAATATGTAAGGTAGTATTAAGGGATCGTTTTCTAACCCTAAATGATCTTGTAAGCTTTGGGCGGACACGTTTGGATTCCATTTTGGAAAAATCCTTCTCCAACTTCAAGTAGAAAACTCTTCTGCATTTTATATGTAGAGTTCTCCTCTTTGATACAGAATGTCTTTGGCAGATTTTCTTTTCATACTGTCATGCAATATATTATGTGAAAATTCCTTATATTTCGTATTGGATATTTTGGAAAATGAAATTATAATGTCTTAATAATTTGATAAAGAACACCCTAACTACCAGCAGTAATTGAATAAGCTTCCTCTCTTTGGACACTTGACAGTAGTATCTTCTTTCTTGAATTGGTGGTATTATTTAATAATGGAAAGATTATCCCTCCCGACTCCTACCCGTTGAGGAGATGAATTAGAAGTAGGCCAAACAATAAATGCTCCCAAGGGTAGTTATGAAGCCTGTTTGAACCTTCTGGATGGAGAAAATGACTGCTAATTTTTGTAGTTCAGAATTATGCCTGGGCTATTTTGCAAATTGAAACCATTCATTAAAGAAATTAAACTTTAATGTTTTATTTATTATTCACACTTTAAGTTTTTAAATTTACTTAAAATTTTGAATTAAAACTAAAATACTATCATAATATAAATCAGAAGTTAAAAATACAAGGATATGGGTATTAAATCCATTCAGACGGCCATTTAAGAAGAATATGTTAAAAATAATTTTGTAGAAATACATTTTATGAAAATGATAATGTTTTTAAAGTATTCCCCTCCCACCAAAGATGTATTTATAGTTGGCAGCTCCTTAGCAAAGTATAAAAACAGATAGACAACTCTTTTTTTTAACTATACATAAAAGATAGATTAAAACTATAATGCGTTAAAACATAAAGCAGTCATAATGAAACCTGTAACAAACTAATTTAACAAGTTAAAGAAGTGCATAGTCCCTGAAGGAATAATATTGGTATAATTTTGATAAGGTTATTTATCATTGTTGTCCATTATATTGTGTATAGGTATATGAGGAAGAATGTTTATGGGCTTTTCTTTGGGAAAGATATTTAGTGTTTTTTTCCATACTTTGCTGTTTAGGGATTTTAATATAAAATTATATTAGTTGAGTATTGGTGAGGAATATAAATGTTCTTTTTGACTTTTTCCATGTCATATATGTTACCTAATTTTAGAACTTGAATTATCTGATCCAAAGCAGTAAAATAGGTTTTCCAAACCTTTTTTTGAGACTTCACCTTACATATGAAAGAATATCAGATTATGCTCTCATGTCAACACAAAATAAAATTCCAGTCAAATAACCCTAGGGGTGGGGATCTGGTGTTCTAAGGATATAATTGGCCCAGAACAGAACTGACTGTTCCGTTTCTGTTTCTATTTGAAAGCTTCAGAATAGCTGCATGTTGCAGTTTTTAGAAGGCGTGCATCAAGACAGAATAGGTGTTTCTGGGAAAGCCTAGCTGGCTTCTCAAACTGGTTCCTCCACTGCGGCATTTGCCATGAGCTAGACTAGGGTTTTAGTCCTCATCCTTTCAAGCTTAAATGTCTAATGTGTGTCGTCACACAGAGTAGTTGTGTTTTGGGGAGTAGACTTGCATTATCCATCTCTGTAAACTTGGTTTTATGTATATAGGTGTGTGCATATAAATATAGTGAATGCAGCTTCATTAATTTATAATGAGGAATACAACTGGAAAGTTTCACTTGGCCCAACCAGTGCATTCTCTCCTATAGAAGACTTATTGGAAGCCAGCTTGCCTGAAAGTTGTTTAGCAAGCCTGGAATAGAACAAGTGAAATTCTGATAGTGTCTTCAGTAGTACCTCAGCAAGAAAGATGAGGTAAAGGATTCTCATCCACTACATGGTTCTACTTGCTAAGGAAACTAGAATATTCACATCTAGTTAGGCAAGATTTCTCATCTGAATAGTGCTTGGGTGTGCATGCCTACATTTGTCCTTCTGCCTTTCTATTTGTATGTTTCCATAATTGACTGCTCTCTGTTCACACAGTCTTTTATCTACATAAAATCCCACTGCCCTGGAGTTGATTCAACCCATAGCAGCCCTATCTCCTCATATTAAGGAAAATCTTTGTTATTAAGACATTTTATTTGTGTTGTATTTTTTTCTAATAGCAAATGATCATATTGATACTATATATATTATTATGTTGATATTATTGATCATTTGTGCTGGGCTACATTTAAATTTCTGTAGACAGACATTTTTTCAAGTACAAAACCTCAAGAAGAACAGAAGAAAAGTCTGGTCATGAAAAATGAAGAATTCTCGCTTTCGCAGTCTGTGGTCATCACTTACTCTTTATTCCAAGAAAAGAAGATGTCTTTAGTAAGTATTACTTTCAAGTTAGAGGAGATTTTTTCATTTACCTAAACTTGTGTTTTATCAATTTTTCAATATTAAAAGTTGTGACTTGGGATTAATTTCTTCTAAACCTATAGTAAATCTCATTTTATCTTTAATTTTAGATCACAGTGTCATTTTCTTTTTCTGCTAAGCCTAGCTTTGTCAATTAAATAACAACATCCGGTATAGTTCAATCATGATTCTTTTATAGAAGTTGTATCGGGGTACTGACAAACATATTTATAGCTCAGAGATATTGCAACAGCCATATTTTAAGACTTTTAAAAAGTGAATAATACTTTAAAAACTATCAGTGCATGTACTCATAAGAAACAATCTTTAAGATACATTGTTAAGTTAAAAAAATAGGAAGGTATAGAACAATTTGAAAAACAAAGATAAGTGTACATGTGTACAAGTTCACGTATTCTTAAATATATAAACAAAAAAGCTTGGAATATCCCTGGAAGATGTCCAAGAAACTGGAAATAGGTTAAAAGAAAACTTGCTTTTCACCCTATAGCCTCTAGTACTGTTCAATTTATTTTTAACCATGCCTAATGCCCTTTGAGTCAGAATTGACTCGACGGCAACAGGTTTGGTTTAGTTTTTAATGCCCTTTGGAAAAAAAAATCTAAATTACTGTGAGAAATGGCCATACTTAATCTTTCTTCATTGTTATGGAATAAATCCTTAAGGCTCTTGATTTTTTGTTTTTTTAAATACAAAATGAAGAGTATATTTTACTGGAATATGGACAGAATGAGTCTTCCAGTTCAGTTAAACTTCCTTGAATTCCTATCCCCTCTGACATTAAATGGGTTTGGAATAGGCTAGATGGTTCAGTGTCTGTTTTTCGTCTTCCCTATGTCTCCAACCACTGGGCGACATTACACACTTTTTATTCTGGTTAAGGTCCAATATAAACGAGAATAAACAGTTCATAGCTTGTCTTAATAACTTAATAGATGTTCTAATTAATTAGTCAAGTTCTTTAATTAAAAGTACAAAAGTCATTACATGAGAGACCAAATAATTCCTTTGTACTAATTTTGAAATAAAATACATGGTAAATAGGGGTTTTAAGTTCAAACTCTTATGTGAACAGTAACTTACATCTATATGTTAAATATGCCTGTGTTTGCATAATTTGACTATGTATATATATAGATCTGGACTTAGTTCCTAAGAAAATTTGATTATGGGCTCCAAATTTTCTGAATGAAGTGCATTCTAATACTCAACCATGATATGAGATTTCATGTATTATACTTTTATGGTTAAAGATATGAAGAGCACTGTATCTGCATTTCTGTCTTTTGCTATTATTTGGTTGTATTTTATTGCATAATAGGATGGTGTAATTAGCTGCATCTCCCAGGACTCTGAGAGGGTCTTGCCAGTTAACCGCAAATTAAACATGCCTAAGGACCAGTTAATCAGGAGCCATAACACAATTAGTTTTAGGTAATTTGATGCCCTGTATCAAATAACCCTGATATGATGCACACATGGTGCATACTGTCTAGTGGAAAAGGGCAGATATGTAATGGAAGCGGTTTAAAACCTACCTTTGAAGGATGAAAATGTTGCTTTAAATCCCTTTTCTGTGAATGTATCAACATTCTTGAGAACACAGTCCAAATTCAGACTTTCAAAATGTATTAAAAGAGGGTATCATGAAATACATTAGTGCTGAGTGGCTGAACTTTCTGAGTGTTTAAAGCATGTTTTACTTAATACATATCTTAAATGGGTTTGGAGCCACATTTGTTTAAAAAGATTAATAAATACATAACACTGTCCTTAAATTTAACACATTTCACGTCAAGTTCAGTAGTAGAAAAATTGTGACAACTCTTTTAAATCGTACTTATTATTATTTTATAAATAGAGCCAATTCTAAATACCCGTGAAAGTCTTTTCAAGAATCCTTTATAAATGCATCTGGAGGCTATGTTATCACTAAGCATTTAGGATTTGTGTTTTTAGAAATTTGTATAACCAAACACCATGTGTTACTTCAAGTATATAAAATGTTGGATTCGTTTACTATATTCTCAAAAGCTATTGCATTAAGGTAGAATGACTGCTTTGCAGCTAATAGGTTATTAAGGTGAATAATTAGAAAGAGATGAGGATTGAGTTCTTAGCTAAAGCTGGGTGATTTTGTTTTAGTCAGTATAGTCAATATAGCAAGTAGAGCTTGTGGAGTTCTATAATGTGGGTAGTTTTTAAAGAAATAGTTAAAATGAAATTTTTAAGGAAAGGCTTAGTCCATTGTTTATTTCTGAGTGAAGATTTGGTACCTGAAGTCTTTGGACATTTTATGTTCATACATTATGGTATACTTTTAAAAACTCACTGGTTCTTTTGCTGTTGTTTCTGTAGAAGAGTGTCGCTGAGAGCAGAACTCTGCCTCTCACGACAGTTGGCGTGCACTTATCCCAAGCGGTGAAAGCTGGCTACCCACTCGATATGGAGCGAGCAGGCCTGACTCCAGAGGTTCAGAAGATTATTGCTGATGTTATCCGAAACCCTCCCATCAACTCAGGTGATGAGCATGACCCTACTCTGCAGCTTTAATGACTTAAGGCATTGAACCCAGATGACGTAAACAGGCAATCCATTAATACTTTTGCTTGAATAGCATTAATCCTTCATGCTATGATAAAAATCTTAATTTTGTAATGCTTTGTATTGTTCTAGAAGATCAGTCTTTCTTGCCCATTATCACTGAAAAATTCTTATTCTCCTTTGCAGTTTCACCTTACAGCTTCCCCGCCCATCCCAAAACAGTGCACTTTCACCCTTCCCTAATTTTTACCTCGTCACTTGAAAAAGAAAAATGTAATAAGTCTATTTTTAATTTGTGGTCAACGGTTTACAGAAGGAAAGATGATGTACATGAAAGGATACCCCCAGAATGTACAAATATAAACTGGGTGTGTTATAATGCAATAAATCCGATAAAGTTTTCAGACTGTTAGGCCAGGGCAGTGGTCATACCAAAAGTCTTGTCTCCAAAGCTGCAGTGCAAATAATTACTTTTTATTGCCTCAAATATTTTCCCAGTTGGGAACAACTCTGGCAGGACAGTGGTTAAGAGCTCGGCTGCTAACCAAAAGGTTGGCAGTTCAATCCACCGGCCACTCCTTGGAAACCCTACAGGGTGGTTCTACTCTGTCCTACAGGGTCGCTCTTTGGAACTGACTTCGATGGCTCCTAACAACAACCATAAGGTTCCCTCCAGAGTTTGGAAATAAGATAAATAAGATCATCTACTGAAAGCAGAATCAATACTATGCTTAATTGATCAGAGCAAAGATAAATGAATCACTTTAAAAGGCAGCATTATTCCTAGACGTGAGCAAGATTTGACTAAAGGTCTAAAGAAAAAACACCTTTGTCACTTCATCGATCAACAGTGGAAACATAGGAAAACGAGGGACACAGAGGCAAGTATGGGCAATATTCCCTAAATTATGTTCCAGGAATGGGGAGTGGTGATCAACGAGACTCCAAGTATATTAGGGGCCTTTTGGTAAGTTATATTAAGCTCTTAATTGAGGAAGACTCCTTAAAAACTATTTCTGCTCCTCTATTACCTCTTAACTTTCTGGTTAAAATTTTATTTCCTATATAGACCTGTCTGAGATCTGTCTGTAGGGAAAGAGGAAACCCTGGTGGCGTGGTGGTTAAGTGCCACAGCTGCTAACCAAAAGGTCAGCAGTTCGAATCCATCAGACACTCCTTGGAAACTCTATGGGGCAGTTCTGCTCTGTCCTGTAGGGTCACTATGAGTCGGAATCGACTCAACAGCAACAGGTTTTTTTTTGTAGGGAAAGATGCAGTAGTCTAGTTAATCTGAATATTTGTCTATGTGATAGTTGTGAACTTAGCATTGTAAATTAGTTAATTGGTGTTTTGTGAACTTGGTTAATGTGAATGTTTCTAAATCTGTAAGTCTGAGTGTCAGATCTTGGACTGTGGCAAAATAGCCAAGGTAACTTACATGTGAATCATACACAAAAGCTAGCCAACTCTTCTGGTGACATTCCAATCTTTCTAACTTCAGCAGCCATTTTGCTAGGAATTAGGGTAAAGGACAGAAAACAATAAATACTTTGTAGGTTTAGAATTTAGGTTTTATAAACCTCCATTTCTCCAAAGCAAAGTGAAATAGTATTTTAGGGAAGGTCAAAGACTGCAGTGCCTTCTTGATTTTAATGCTCTGGAATTATTATTTTTTTAATATATAAATGTATTGTCTCTCAGGATTTAAAGAAATACATGTCTTTTGATGAGATGTTGGGTAGCAGGCAATGTTCTCTGAAAGAGTTTGTGTTGTTTTTTCTATCGACAGTCATGTTTGCTGTCATTTGACCACTTTCCTTACATCCTGAAGACTGGTCAGTAAGAGCAAAGACTATCAACAGACAGACCTGTGTTCAAATCTTTTCTCTGTCGTTTCACAGCTATGTGATCTGGGGGAAAATTATCCAATCTCCCTAAGCCTCAGTTTTCTCATCTGTCAGATGTTGTTATTGCTGTTAGGCGTCGTTGAGTCGATTCTGACTCATAGCAACCCTATGTACAACGGAACAAAACACTACCCGGTCCTGTGCCAACCTCAACAATCCTTGTTATGCTTGAGCCCATTGTTGCAGCCCCTGTGTCAATCCATCTCATTCAGGGTCTTCCTCTTTTTTGCTGACCCTCTACGTTACCAAGCATGATGTCCTTCTCCAGGGACTGGTTTTTCCTGATAACATGTCCAAAGTATGTGAGACGAAGTCTCGCCATTCTTGCTTCTAAGGAACATTCTGGCTGTACTTCTTCCAAGACGGATTTGTTTGTTCTTCTGGCAGTTCATGGTATATTCCATATTCTTTGCGAATGGCATAATTCAAAGGCATCAATTCTTCTCTGGTCTTCCTTATTCATTGTCCAGCTTTCACATGCATATGAGGTGATTGAAAACACTATAGCTTGGGTCATGCACATCTTAGTCCTGTAAAATAGGGAGGGATATTTCTTCTCTGATAGACTTGTGAGGAATAAATTAGATTGTGCACACAAAGCCCTGGGGTGTGGTATTTAATAAATGGTGATGGTAGTGGGAATGAACATGATAATGAAGATTGAAAAAGTTAGATAGTAAGATCTTCCTGCATCTTAAAACTACCCTCTAACTGTGATTTATTTTATACTCTATCTTTTAAAGTACCTAATTAAGAGAATATAAAGCCACGAGATAAGTATGTATAAAAACCAAAACCAAACCCATTGCCATCGATTCCAACTCATAGCGACCCTATAGAACAGAATAGAGCTGCCTCATAGGGTTTCCAAGGAG